GTTATTCCCTCTGGTTCCATCCCGGTTATTCCCTCTGGTTCCATCCCGGTTATTCCCTCTGGTTCCATCCCCGTGTTCCCAGTTATTCCCTCTGGTTTATCCCCACGTTCCCGGTCATTCCCTCTGGTTTCATCCCAGTTATTCCCTCTGGTTTTACCCCCATGTTCCTGGTTATTCCCTCTGGTTCCATCCCTGTGTTCCCAGTTATTCCCTCTGGTTTTATCCTGGTTATTCCCTCTGGTTTCATCCCCATGCTCCTGGTTATTCCCTCTGGTTTTATCCCCGTTATTCCCTCTGGTTTTATCCCAGTTATTCCCTCTGGTTCCATCCCAGTCATTCCCTCTGGTTTATCCCCATGTTCCCAGTCATTCCCTCTGGTTTATCCCCCTGTTCCTGGTCATTCCCTCTGGTTTATCCCCATGTTCCCGGTCATTCCCTCTGGTTTATCCCCCTGTTCCCGGTCATTCCCTCTGGTTTATCCCAGTGTTCCCGGTCATTCCCTCTCTGCCCCCACCCCCAGGCCATTCCCCCCATCCCTGGCTCAGTGCAGGGATAAAGGAGTGGCCATTTCTCTCCTTTGGGAATGGCCAGGACCAGCTGGAGACCTTTTCCCCTGCAGACTGGCTCCATTCCCCCTCTCCCTCAGGAATTTCCATAACTGGTCATGGGGGGCTCCATCCACGCCTGGATCTTTCCCCCCAGCACAGGATCCACCAGCAAACAGGGAATGTTGCTTCTCCCTCCCTGGTGGTTCACGCTGTTGAGAGGTCTCTTCAGCACGTGCCACCTCCTGCTCCGGTGCCATTCCAAAATCTGGGCCTCCTGGCCAGTCCACGGTCACTTCCAAGATTCCCGGATGACGGGAGTTTCCTCTCCCAGCCCTCTGTGGCCATGGAGACCCTCCCTCTGGAGACCCTCCCTCTGGAGACCCTCCCCAGCAGGGACAGCAGGAGCAGCTGGATTCGGTTCCAACCACCTCCTCCACGAGCCTCCGGGATCTCTTTTCCGATTGGAACGTTGTGGATTTGGGATCCTCTCCATCCCTGACTCCGGAAGCTGAGCTGGAGTGTCCCAGTGCTTCGTGCCAGAGGCTCCAGGAGGGATCATTGTCCCTGTCTGGACTGGCCCGAGGGGACAGTGTGGAAAATCTCCTGCTGGAATTGCACAGAACTTGCTCAGGGTCCATTGGGAAGGAGGGGGGGGATAACCAGGCTGGAACTGGGAATGTGCACGCTCCAGAATCCCACAGGGGCCCAAAATCCTGGTGTTTCCTTCTTGTCAGTTGGTGGGGATGTGGCTGTTGTCCTGTTATCCGTTGGGATCTCACCACATCCATCCTGCCATTTCATTCCTAAAAGCTGGATCTCCTCTGCAGGTCCCTTTGCTCTGTTCTGTGGAAACCCCACTTTTAGTGGGATTTGGGATTGTTTTTTCCAGTTTCTCGAAACCTTCAGCTCTGCTGACTCGATGATGTCACCGATGTCCCACAGGGATTCCGGAGCCTCCCCCTGTTCTAGCACAGTCTGGATTGACCCGTGGGGGAGAGATGGGCCCTTCCCAGCCCTGGGATGGTTCCAGGGTCAGGGGATCCGACCCAGGGCTCAACAGGCCTGGGCCAGTGGAATTCCAGCATCCCGGGACACCGGCTGGTTTGGGAATTGTATTTCCCTTGGGAAAGCTGCTGTGGGGGCAGAGGCACCGTGGGACACCCGAGGACATGGAAAAATGGGAGGAAATGTCCTTTATGGACCTCAATCCCATCACTTGCAGCAGCCTGAGGCCCTCCAGGTGCCAAAGGCTCTGCAGATCCCGGGATGAGCCACATCCACACCCCCATCCCTCCAGGGCTCAGTTCCAGGCATGGAAAACTAAGGAGGTTTAGTCCCAAAACTCTGCATCCTCAAGGGTGTTGGAGGAGGATGACGGACACCTCAGCATCCCAACCCCCCTCCGTGCTCCCAGCTCTGCTCTAATTTCAGGAATTTAATTGGGAAAGTGTCTCCCGGCCTCGTGATTTCACCCGAAAGGTAAAAATCAAAGATGGAAAGTTGGGATTTTTCCTGGTTATTTGAGCCCTGGAGCACAAAGGACTCGTGGCCCAGCACCCCCCTCGCTGTGTCCCGTCCTTCCGACCCGGATTCCGGAGGATCCTCCACGTGTGCTCCCGGCACGTTGAACTGGGACATCCCAAAAAAGCCACCGGGGCCGTGGCGTTGTCACAGCCGGGGGTGGCAGGGAGGTGACAGGGTGACATTCCCAGCGCCGGGCTGGGAATGCTGGGAACGGCCTCGAGTGGCACAAGGGGGTGGGTTGTAGGTGGGATTTTGGGAATATTTTGGGAATATTCCGCCTGAAAAGGGTTGTCCAGCCCTGGGAGGCTCAACAGCCACGGGGATGTGGCACTTGGGGACACGGTCAGTGGTGGCACTTGGGGACATGGGGCAGTGGTGGCCCCTGGGCCAGGCAGACTGGGGGGATCTCCTGCAGTTTTCCCACCTCAGCAATTCCCTGATTCCGTGCTGTCCCAGTTTCCCCAGTGCATTCCCATCCTCCTTCCCGGCTCCGTGGGCAGATGGAGGGGGGGGTGTCAGTCCCTGTTCCTGTGGGAATGTCACCATCTGTCCTGCTGCTCCGTGACATCCAGCCTGGGGGACACTCCCAGTGCTCCCAGTGCAGAGCAGCCTCCGGCTTACTGGGAGTGGAGGGAAATTCCCATACTGGGAATGACTGCGGGGTTGGGACGTGTGAACTGGGCCATACTGGGAGTGGCTCTGGGACTGCCCTGTAGGGACTGGGCCATACTGGGGTTGGTCTGTGTGAACTGGGCTGTACTGGGGCTGGTCTGTATGGACTGGGCCATGCTGGGGTTGGTCTGTGTAAACTGGGCTGTACTGGGCCATACTGGGGTGGTCTGTGTAAACTGGGCTGTACTGGGGCTGGTCTGTATGGACTGGGTCATGCTGGGGCTGGTCTGTGTAAACTGGGCTGTACTGGACCATACTGGGGCTGCCCTGTATGTACTGGGCTGTACTGGGGTTGGTCTGTGTAAACTGGGCCGTGCTGGGAGTGGCTCTGGGGCTGCCCTCTATGGACTGGGCCATACTGGGGCTGGTCTGTGTGAACTGGGCCGTACTGGGCCATACTGGGGCTGGTCTGTGTGAACTGGGCCATACTGGGGCTGCCCCATATGTACTGGGCTGTACTGGAGCTGGTCTGTATGGACTGGGCCATACTGGGGCTGGTCTGTGTAAACTGGGTCACACTGGGGCTGCCCTGCATGTACTGGGCCGTACTGGGGCTGCCCTGCATGTACTGGACTGTACTGGGGCTGCCCCATATGTACTGGGCTGTACTGGGGGTGGCTGTGGGGTTGCAGGTGCCCCCCCAGGTCCGTGGGTGCCCCCCCGGATGCCCCCAAACCACCCCCTGAGCCTCATTTGCATTTTTAACTCGTTTCTACAATAACCCCCCAATTTTGGGGTTATTTATTGGGGGGGACACTGGGGGGACTCGTGGTGGCTCCCACTGTCACAGCACCCCCAGCACTGGGGGGCTCCGGCCGTGGCCCCAAAGGTGGGTCCAGAGGGAGGGGGAAGGAACACGAGGAGAAGAATTAGAATAAGTAGAAGAACAACTGGAATTACCTAAATAGAATTTAATAAAATAGAAAAATAGAAAAGAATAAATAAACGACAATAATCAGAATAAACAGACATAAAGAGACTCCTGGCTTTAAACACAGACCCGGGGCAGGGCACTGGTGGGACTGGGAGGACTGGGAAGTGCCCTGGAGGGACATTCCGAGGTCTGGAGGCCCTTCAGTGCCCAAAGGGAACATGGAGACACATCCCAGGGGGATTTTTCAAGGCCTGAAGATACTTCAGAATCCAAAGGGAACCTGCAGACACACCCTAGAGGGATTTTCCAAAGTCTTGAAGAAGTGGAAAGTGCCCTGGAGAGACACTTCAGAGTCTGAAGGTACTTCAAGGCCTGAAGGGAACATGGAGACACATCCCAGAGGGATTTTCCAAAGTCTGAAGGTATATTAAGGTCCAGATACATCTTGATATATCTTGATAAATCCCTCTGGGATGTGTCTCTGTGTCCAAAGGGACACAGAGACACATCCCAGAGGG